GTCGCAGGATGGGGAGGGCCTGTCTGTCAGGGTCGCTGGGGCTGGGATCCTTGAAGAGGGTCCCGAGTTGGACCTGGTAGCCAGACAGGTCAGCATCGCTGCCAAAGGAGGCACAAGCCAAGCTGCAGCACGTCACTCCAGCCCAGTGCCCCAGCTCCCACCCTGCCTGGGATCCTTGAAGAGGGTCCCGAGTTGGACCTGGTAGCCAGACAGGTCAGCATCGCTGCCAAAGGAGGCACAAGCCAAGCTGCAGCACGTCACTCCAGCCCAGTGCCCCAGCTCCCACCCTGCCCCCCAACCTCCATCCAGCTCCCAGGGCTACAGGTCTGGCCTCAGCTTCCCAGCCCTGCTCCACACTGCTGCTTGGTGAATGGCAGCACCACACCCCAACCCTGCCCTCCGGTTTGCAGCCTCCACCCAGCACCCCCTGTTCAGCGGGGCTGGGGGTCAGCCCCATAAGCAGCCCCACACAGGCCTCCCAAGGCCTCATGCCCTGGGCAGTGTGCTGGCTGGCACAGCGGCAGGCAGAGAAACGAATGGGCACCTCAGGGCAGCCCCAGCCTAGGACGGGCAGGGGGCGTTGGCTGGGCAGGGCCTCGCTCACAGCCTCACCTTTCCATGGTGCCACCTGGAGTGGAGGAGAAGGGCTGACCCTTGCTTTTATGCCTGGGGCTGCCCAGTCCAGGAAGGAGCTCCCAGACAGCCCATGCCTGACAGGGCCATGGCCGGGGCAGCCCCATTCGAAGGGCGTGTTCCAGGGCTGCTACACCCCTGTGGCACTAGGGAAGCCAGGCCTATAGTGACCTAGCTACGTGCTGTTCAGCGCCTGTGCAGCCTGCAGGTGGGGGGGGCGAACAACAGGCTCTTCTTGTCTCTCCCCACCTGGGCCCCACAGCCCCCGCCAGACGCTGCCTGCAGTGCGGCAGCGGGGCCCATCTGCCCTCTCTGTGCCGCTTCCTGGCCCATCTCTGAGCCCAGCCCTGTGGCACATGAAGCTGGCACCGAGGGCCTGAAAGGGGTTCAGCGGGTCCAGAACGGTCCCCAGAATCTGGCCCCCTTGCATGCCATGTGCTCAGCCGCTGCCCTGCCTTCCAGCAGACTCCTCACCAGGACGAGAAGCACTGGCGTGTGCTGACGACCCATTGCTCCTTCACCAGGGATCCCCCGCAGAAATGCACGCCTTCCCTGCCGGGCAGAAAGCACACGTGTCGGACATCCCGAGCCAGGGGCTGCCCTGCTGCCCCACAGGCCTGGGCGAGCTGTCGGCAGGAACAAAGGGGAGGGGAAAGGGAGACTCCATCTGTGTGCAGAATATCGGCACAGGGACAAAATCGGGGCTCCAGGCTGGCAGAGGAAGGGCTACCCCCCTCCCCGCTGCAGCTGGCAAGTCAGGCTTAAACTGGCACTGGGGAGAATCCATCCTAGGAACAAGTTCCCAGGGTCCTCGTGGATTCTCTGCCACTGAGCAGATTTAACTCCAGCTTGAGGAAATGGCTGGGGAC